CACTGAGCATACAGTGCTTACTAATATAGTTGGGTAAGGGCAAAACCGTTATATATAATCATATATTGACGGTTACTAGTCAATACTAGTGTTTGTTTGCCATACTGCCTGGGTGACACTATCATTATCAAGTATCAGCTATTCCTGATATCTTTTGTTTCTCAGTTGGTAAGTTTTCATGGTTTTTGTGTATTTTTGGGTGCATACATGTGTGCATGGAAACTGCTGGAGCATTATTTGTAACAACTTAAGAGGATCTTTGTACGAGCATGTCTTTGGAGTTTGGCCTGCTTCTGGAAAAATATTAATTCCCTTTAATGGTGGAGCTGCACTATAGATTATGAATATGATGCAGCATTTTTAGCACATGTACATGTATTTCATCTTTCTGTGAGACACTGCAGGCTTCAGCTATGGCAAACATAAACACCCGATCACAGACAAAAAGAACGTTGGGCGATGTAGATTATCATGAAAGAGCAGAATTTCCACACGGAGTACTGCCAACGAAAAGAGACATCGTCCAAAGTATGCTGCATCTGCTGAGCCCAAAAAGAGCAGGACAAGTCCAGAGATCTAAAGATAATGCTGCACGACAACTAGCAGAACTTCTTCAAGAGCGTTGGCTGTACTGTAATGTGTACACCATTCATGTCAAGCACATACAGAAGCACATTTTGGCACTTTACATGGAATTTATTTCACTGTGTCAAACAAGAAAAGCCAGAAAGAATAAGCGGTACTTTCAAAATGTGGCAGATTTCAATAAGGAAGCAGTCAAGCTTTTTGATGTCTTCTGCGCAGACGAAGAAATCAAGAAGAAGTTAGAAAGTTCACATGAGCTGAAAATGGCTGACATGGAGTACAAATTTCTTGAGGATCAAAGGTCTGACAGAAAGATGATCTGTGAAGCATTTGTTGACAGAAAATGGAAGAAAACAATGACACGCAAAAGGAAAGACTTGCAAAGCCTTGAAACTAGGCGGCGGAGTGCTGAAAGTGAAATGAATGTCGACACAATAATTGCCAGTACTATTTTTGACAGTGATGAATCCGATGTAGTTGTACATGACCAGGACATTGACTGTGAGAATCTACAATCAGAGAGTTCCGATGACATTGACACGGCCACCTCTTGTTCTAGTAGTGGGAGGAGGAGTAGTAGGAAACTGAGAGTTCTGGACCACACGCCCCTTTTTGCCCGGTTTTTGCTCAAAACCCTTGGGTAGTACATCGACCCAAAAACTCGTCGAAACATTTTTGGTGGGAAAAAATGGGAAAATCCTGGAATGACGTGAAACCCCCGTTTTTGCTCAACACCCCTGGGTAGTACATCGACCCAAAAAAACGGGGGATTTCCACTCAACTTTTGACCTCGGCTGTAAACAACTCGCGACAGAAATCCCACCCGAATAAAAATGAGAAAAA